TATACGCATTCTTTGTTCTTATGCTCTAGAACTAGTCTCGCTCCTCAGCATAGGGAAATAACCTCTAATGTATACGCATTCTTTGTTCTTATGCTCTAGAACTAGTCTCGCTCCTCAGCATAGGGAAAGAACCTCTAATGTATACGCATTCTTTGTTCTTATGCTCTAGAACTAGTCTCGCTCCTCAGCATAGGGAAATAACCTCTAATGTATACGCATTCTTTGTTCTTATGCTCTAGAACTAGTCTCGCTCCTCAGCATAGGGAAATAACCTCATGCTGTGGACTCTTAATTAGCCCGCGGGGAGGGCGGGGGAAGGAAGACACTGACAATAAAATAAGGTTTTAGTGATTGAAATGGAGATAATTAAACCAACATTTTTCAAGCAATCAGACAGCAGCACAACTCATTTTTTACTTTTTTTCACGGGCAGTCGACAATATTACAGCTTTAAACCGACCCACACTATCCCGACACGGTGACTCATTCTCATTTTGTGTCCTCAAACTCGATACCACGTGATATAAGATAACGGCCGATTGCCAGTGTTTCACTGACCCAAGTTTCAAAGGTAACAAAAAAGGACCAATATCACGAATGTATTATGAGGTGTGGTGAAGTAAGGTTTAACGTCGCGTTCAAGATTATTGCACGTACATGTACATATAGCGATATGCATGCACGTGTGCATGTGCGTGTGGCTGCTTGTACTAGTCCGGACTTTATAGTACTTGCTCACTGAGATACCATGCCGCAGTTTAACACGAATGCCCCACTCAGACACAGTACTGTAATAAATATGTTCAATAGTATTATCAGTCATAAATAATGCTAATATTTTGTTTTAGTCACTGTAATAGATATGTTCAATAGTATAATCAATCATGAATAATGCTGTTATTTTGTTTTAGTAACTGACATAGATTTCTTTATGGTTGTATCGTTTAATAACACATGCCTAACTTTAGTTCCTATGTTTGTTTTTATTGTTTAACAAGTTAAGCAATTATGGAAATTTAAGTTTACATTTGGAACAGTGCAATAAAGCAAGATGGAGAAATGAACTCGAATGTATTATAACTAGCATCAGAGATATAATTATTGTTAGTAACAGGTGTGACTCGTGTAAGATGACCCCGATTATGTTTCTAGGTTTGTCAGCACCATACCCGTGCTCGTGAGTTTCCCCGAAGTGGTAAACGTTTGTGACCTGCATCACTTCTGGCTTTCCTCCCACATTAAGCTGATACGCCGCGATATAACTGGAATACTGTTAAAAGCGGCGTTAAACCAAACTCACTCACTCCTTCACTCATGTAAGATGACAATCTCCTGACACCATGATGAGCTAAGATACCATGGCATGTTTCACACCCTGAGTCGTGGCGATACTGTACGTGACTGAAGGCAGGTGCTGTTAATATTAGCATACGGAGAAATCAGAAGGTCTGTCATGATAAGGGGACATTAATATTATCTGAACTGAACTTGAATAACACAAGCCTTACAAACAGATCACTTTATCAGATAGGTATCACACAGTCCTTCGAATCTGTTGTGTGTTATGCCAGGGACAGGTCACTGTTAACTAATGTAGACTCTTTAGACAATATATATGTTGTTTTCGCTTAATATAAACCTGTAGTTTTTTATTTTATTTTCATATACGAATTTCGCATGAGAAAATGAACTATGTTCTATATGGACATGATAGTGCGTGTGCGCTTGTACATATGTTACACATTTGCTTAAAGAACCTTCATGGAGCGACAAAGTAATAGTCTTAAGATAATATAACCGTCAAAAATAACAGTTTAATGGAACTGTTTAGAGGCCGATGATTAAAATATTATTTTTGGTTGGTCATACTCTATGTAGCCAAATGCCTTCTTTGATTGATTGAGTTGGTGAGTATGATTTTACGCCGCTTTAAGCAATATTCCAGCACTATCACGGCCATCAGAAATGGGCTCCACACATTTTACCCGTATGGGGAATCGAACCCGGGTCTTCGGAGTGACGACCGAACGCTTTTCTTTAATTGAAGCTTCTGTAGTGTCATATGTATTTATCCTGTGTGCACTTACGTAGATGCAATATCTTTATGTGTGGTGCTGCGATTTCTTGTTAATTCAGGTTTAGTGACATTTTGCTTGACACTTGTTGTTCTCATAGACTGTTATTAGTAGTTACTTTCGTTGAGGCGCCTAAGGTGCGGAGTACATCCTGATTTGATCCTAGTTGGCCAGCACTATACGCTTGATCCTGCGTAGACCAGAGAAACCGCCTCATTTGTTTTAGATATATGCATACAGATTCAGAGATACTATTCAGATGCCTGTATGACAAGAGGCTTCAACGTTCCAATAGTCATCGTCTACAGTTCAGGTATAATCGAGCATGCTCTTTCTTGCAAGATTCCAAAGGGTGTCGTTCGACTCTTGCTCTAAAGTTGTTTGATCAGGTTCACAACATTCAAGACCTTAGTGGAGAAAGTGTTGGGTAGACATGTGGATGACATATCCAAGTGTGTGTAGGTAATCTGTGTTTCCTTATAGATTGTACAAATGTGTATATAATGGTTTATTCTCAGGAAGGTGACACCTCGCGGGGTGTATAAACAAAACGCTTGAACGGTTCACCTCTTGGTCAGGTAATCACTTAACTTGATCAATGGCCATGGTGTGCTGATTTAAGGCTTAGGGAAAGTTGAAAAGGAATGAGGAAAGAATGAACTATACACCGGTAACATTTATTTTATTTTTATTTAAGAATACCCTGAAATGCCATAATAAAAGACCAATTTTAATACATTTTACAATTCTAGTACAGATCTTTGAAAGGCTTTTAGAAGTGATGCACATAAGGAAGGGAATATATGGATGTCAACTTCCTTATTATGAGGAACACAACGTTTCGGAGTATATGATTCATCCGATGAAGGAGTAAGCATATACTCCGAAACACTGTGTTCCTCATAATAAAGAAGTTGACACCCATATATTCTCTTCCTTAATTCTAGTACACATTCAAACTAAGTTCATACACAGTTCATACACAGTTGCAATAACTTATAATTAAGTACAAAAACAGCATTGTCTGCGTAGTCGATGGTTGTGATGTCATCTCGTGACAGCCTGTCTTTCAGTGTATTCAGGCGCCGGTTGATGTCTTGATACTTCTTTCTTTTTGGTGAAAGACGTTGTTCGGCAGTGTACTGGACCAACTGTATTTCATTCTTCTTCTGCTTGGCGGACAGGAAGCTGATAAGCTTGCCGATGATTTTATCGAGTCGCCCATGACAACCCTCCAAATGGTTACAGACCGCCTCCGTGGTCTAGTGGTAGAGCGTCCGCAATCAATGTGTTATTATAGATTGTATAGAAGTGCATATAATACCTCTGTTTAGTATGTGCGTACATTTATGTCTGTTTCGAGATAGTACAGCGGTGTGTGTATTCTGTGTGAATGTAGTATGTATGTTGCCTGAGTGTATGTAGTATGTGTGTCTATGTAGTCCGTGTTTACATGTGTGATATTGCTAGAATATTGCTAAAAGCGGTGTAAAACTCACTCACTCACTCAATCACTGTGAAACTGGGGATTTCATGAAATCCCTGAAATATTCTGTGAATTGGTGAATTTACCTAATATAATGTTCAGTGATTTCATATATTTCCTGAATTACTTTGACATGTACAATGACATTTTGTGCAGTATGTCCCATACATATATAATTGCCTTGATTAAACAAAAAAATGCACAACAAAAACATACGTAGGTCAAATTCTTTATTCTATCTGAATCAACTCTTACACTCCATACACAGAATACAAAATGTTTACGTATTGCAGCAGTTGAAGCTGTTACACTTCAGTTATCTCTCGTTATCTCACAGTGAGTGGGTGAGTATGGTATTACGCCACTCTTAGCAACATTTCAGCAATATCACGGCCGGGAGACACCAGAAATGGGCTTCACACATTGTACCCATATCGGCAATCGAACAGGGGTCTTCGGCGTGACGAGCGAATGCTTGAACCACCAGACTACCCAACCGCCTTCCTAGATTCACAATATTACTGTAACATGTACAACGTGACATTGCACTGTGACTGTGGTTCCTTAATCCGGACGATTTTAATGGACCGCTACCCTCCGGATTACCGGGGTGCCCCTATATATTCTTGGCAAAACAGAAAAACTCCAACGTGCGTAATGCATTACAACCTTAATCCGGATGGTACTGTTCATAGTGATAGTGTGCAGATTAACACGTTCTTCATCGATGCCACGGAGTGAAGGAGCAATTGAAACATTACATGTCGAAATAATGTGTTAATGAAAAACAAAAAAAAACAAAAAAAGTAGTTAAAATATTTCATAAGATTTACGAAAAAGTAAAAGTACAGGGCCACAGAATGAGCAACACCAACACATAATGCAAGTGAGTTTTTGATCTTGCACAATTGTTTTTCGACATTGAAGTTTTGAAACTTTACCGAAAGTGCCACAAATATGTGTAAACATTACAACAGTCTATCTACCGGAAAGAGGGCATTCAGGAATAACGGGAAACCAGTTCAAAGTCGAATAAAACAAATAGATATTCTCCTCTCCATGTAGCATAAACGCAGACTGCATTCATGTTGTCTCTGGTATAATCAACAGGAACTGAGACAGTGGGATGAACACCCCATTGCAGCCTCACTATGCTTCTGCGATAGTTTCAGTTCATTTCATGTCATTTTGGTCGAGAAGGTGAGACAACAACGATAAGTGATGCTTAAAAGAAGTAGCAAGCTAAGCAAAATATTGAATCACCGTTAATCCAGAAATCATCAGACCCGTGAAGATCCGGGGTAGAATAGGTCTTCAGCAACCCAAGGCTACTATGCTTGTCGTAAGAGGCGACTAACGGGATCGGGTTGTCAGGCTCGCTCGCTTGGTTGATACATGTCATCGTATCCCAATTGCGTGGATCGATGCTCATGATGTTAATCTCTGGATTGTCTGGTCCAGACTCGAATATTTACTGTCCTCCGTCACATAGCTGGAATATTTCTGCGTGCGATCTTAAACAACAAACAAACAAATTATACGTCCGGCGTTTTGAAATAAACAAAGTCTAAATCTCACATCCGATAACTTTCATTACAAAGTTTGGCTCTTTTCTTATTTTACAATGTACGTAGGTCATACCTTTATTCGGGGCGGTCGGGTAGCCTAGTGGTCAAAGCCTTCGCTCGTCACGCCGAAGACCAGGGTTCGATTCCCGACATGGGTACAATGTGCGAAACCCATTTCTGGTGTCCCCCGCCGTGAATATTGCTTTATTTGTGAATTTACTTCATCTGCACAGTTCTGTGAGGTGCAGATGCAGATTCAAAGTCCGAAGTCATAGTCCGGCTTTCCAGCTTTGGTTGTTTCTATGAAATGAATGTGTGCCGGTGTGTCCCAACGACATTGCTGTACAGCTGGTACCTTGCCCATGTTTTCAATCCACTTGGTAAGCTTGGGGTACCGATCAGCTGTCACCCTCGCTTCCTTCACTAACTGGGTCACAGCGTCAAACCTTTCAACGTGAGGCCAGATCATTAGGTCAACCATCTGAACAGAACTGCCTGAAATGTAAATAGATGTAAATAAACTTTAAAAATATTTGAAGCAGATGTTTACGCACCTTCCCCGGTCGGAAGGTGGGTGGCTGGGGGGAGGCTCTCATGAGGTGGTTAGAGCCACACCCTCTTAAATACACCCTCTTATAACGCAAACATTTGTACAGGAAGATTTGGGGGTTATAACCATGGTGGTGTTATAACCAGGGAAGCTATTCTTACCAGTCAAAATGAAGTCATACATAAATACATATACAATTAATAAAAATCATTCAAAAATTCATTCAACAAGTACATGCATAAGTAATAGAAACAAATATAACATTCTACGATGTTTGCGATAAACTGAACAGGTAAGTAAGTGAATAGTAGTAGTAGTAGTAGCAGTAGTAGTAGTAGTAGTAGTAGTAGTAGTAGTAAGAGTAGTAGTAGTAGTAGTAGTAGTAGTAGTAGTAGTAGTAGTAGTAAGAGTAGTAGTAGTAGTAGTAGTAGTAGTAGTTATGTGAAGACTCCCCAAAACTGCATCCTTCTGCTTTAAACAGATTGTCAGAAGGGCTGTATTCATGGTAGCAAACCCGGTACTCTCCAAATGTCAGTCAACAGATTGGGAGGTACCAAACAATGGAGAGTCGGACTGCATATTTGCCATGTTTTTCCTGAATCTTGTCAATCACATTAGTGTCAAAACGGACACAAAATTCAATTACATAAAAGATTTTATTGGATTTATAAAAAAGGACAAGATCAGGTTTGTTGGCCTGGATACATCTGAGGATGTATACGGGCCTATTCCAAAGAAATTTATATTTATCATTTTCCATGACGCCCTGTACATATTCTGGGTCGTACCATGGATGGACCTCTGTGTCAAAACCACAAGCATTGCGAAGACGGTAATAAAATTATCTGTCCAATCCATCTTGTCGCTTAAGATACTGTGTTTGTGCTAAGGCGGGGCAGCCACTGACAATGTGTTGGACAGTATCATTAAATTCATAACATAATCTACATTTCATATTTACGTTTTGTTTTCGTGGAACTCACTGGTACGCGTGAATGAGAGTGTATTTAATAATTCCTTTTGTGATTTGGTGACAGAAAAGTGGGTGAGGGAACACTGTAAGGATAAAGTGGATCATAGTAAGGTATGAGGAAGACATACGATTGCTGCTGGGTCGAATTTTGAATCACATCTGAGCAAATGTAGCGACAGTTAGTAGATAGATAATGTTCGGACCGGCGACGTTTAAATATGTGCAACGTTAATATATAAATTATTTGAAACTGAAAAAAATGTTTTCAAAATAAAAATGTTTTCATAAACTGGCACTTGGTATAAAATGCACCTTAACAGGATGTACGTAGTAAACAAATACTTGTATTAAGAACTCTCAACAATGCTGGGCTTATTAAATGACATTGGAGTTGATACATCACTGAGAGGACCTTGCAGCAAAATTTTACAAATTACGTCATGGGGAATTGTGACGTTTTTGAAAGTATGTGATACTGAATCATAAACGTACATGTTGGCCCAAATATATTTATTTCAAAATAATCCAAGATCCCTCAAACTATCAAATGTACTGTCCCTTACGTTGAAGTTGTTGTTGCGTTTGGTGTTACGTCTTGGAGGTCACTCCATGTAATCAGTCAGCTAAAGTCATATCACCATTTCTAAGCCAAATCTTTTTCGTAAAACATATGGGAATTTATTCTCACCACCAAAGAACGGGGTCCCTCTCTCTGCAAGGGCCTTCTCCACTGGATCAAGAGCATCATAAAACCCCTTAATTGCGTCCTTTGGGGCAAAAGATATCTTGTAAAAATGGGCCTCTGTCTGAAAGAAAACAGTAGAATGATAGTAGAGGACACTCATTAAAATACATTCACTTCGATACGAAACCTATCTTCAGGAAGATCTGATGGAACCTCAACAGAAGGTCGAGTCAGTTGACATTCTCAATCAGCCAATCAACGTCGAGGCTTCTAAATTCACGTTACGGGTGAGCGAAGCATTCAGACTAGCAGTTTTGTTTTTGTATCTCGAAAACGAACTAAGACGACCACTTCCGAATGTTGATAATTAAGACTGCGCCATGTTATTGCGTTTTATACACCATGCCGTTCACTGCCATAGTTCTACACCCACGCGGGAATACCATCGTGTTTTGTGAATGTTAAGTGCAGTTCTTGTTTTATTTAACTTTTAAACCAGATTGTTACCTTTGAAAACAGTTCAACAATGATCCTGTCCAGTGCTCTCCTGTAAGGTTCCGAGGGCGTCAGTTTGTTGTTGGGGTACACTTCATCCAGGTAGTCAGCGCAGACCAGAGACTCATAGATCACCTTGTCGTCTTGTTCTAAGTTGGGAACATTGCCGGTGGGGTTCCTGTCCAGAAACCAAGATGGCTTCTGCTTCAAGTCAATATTCACTGTCTCGTGCCTGGTGGAATAAAATAACTTTTCAAACAATATCATTTTTTTCTAGAAAATGTTCTAATGCGCTGGAACCTATTTCGATATTTCAGCATAAGGGCAGAACCTCTTATGTATACCCTCTCGATGTTATATAATGCTCTAGATTTAGTCTCGCTCTCTCAGCATAGGGGCAGTAGTGTATACTGACACACTGGTTCCTTTATATTCCGGAACGAGTCTTGGTCTCTCAGCATACGGACAGAACCTCCAGTGTATATTCACTCTATTACCTTATGCTCTAAAACTAGTTTTGCTCTCTCAGCATAGGGTTAGAACATCTAGTGTATACTCACTTCATGTTCTTATGCTCTGGAAATGGTCCCCGTCTCTCAACATAGGGACAGAACCTTTAGTGCATACTTACTCTATGTTCTTATGAGCTAAAGCTAGTCTCGCTGTCTCAGAATAGGGGCAGAACCTCATGTTGTAAAGCCTTAATTTGCCCGGGGTGAGCGCCGGGAAGGCAGACGCTGAAACCAAAACAACTTGATTGAGTGAACCACAGCTAACCATTAGGAATAACCATAGAAACAGCATCTAGTCGTTAACATGCAATCCAACAGTCATCGGGGTACGATGAAACACTAGGGCAGCCAAGTGACAGAGTTGTTCTTTTCGAAAAGAGGCCATTCTCATACGTGCTCAGTTGACATCACCCGCTGTGGTCAATATCCATTACTTGGGTCCATAAAGAATGATGTTGCCCGAAATGTGGTCAATAATTGTTTTATTACACAACATAAGAAACACCAATATTTTAATTGCGTATTTTTCCTTTTCGCAAATGACAGCGAATCGCGCAGCAAAATTGTTTACCTTGGAGATGCTGCTTCACAGCAAACTTAACCGTACAGTCGCTGATTAGCTGAACATATATCTCCCTTTTTGAGTCCAATGGCTTAATCGCGCAGGGTAAAACAATTTTAGATCGCTGCACGGCAGTGTGGGCCTCAGAGGAAATCGTGTTTTAAAGAATGTCATTTAACCCTTTCTCAACCGATGAAACTACAAATGTAATATGTAAATGTAATGCAACTGGATTATTGCTGACTGCAACGTAAAAGAAGAGCAACATACATGTATTCTCCCATAACAGGGCTTGATCTTCAATCGCCAGCAGTGGTTTATTCGCAGTGGTTTATTTTTATTCACCCAATCTGATTGGCTTGTTGAGAGTGGAGAGCTTGTGTCATCGCGTTTTGATTGGCTGGCTAAAAATAATTGACTGCACTATTTTCGGTTCGGGGATACCCGAGGTCGCCTGGTACAGGAAATCCCCAGCTGGCAAAACATAACCGTAGTGACGATGTTTCCATCTCCGAAAGTTGGTGACCGAGAGAAAATTTGTGGGGGAAGAAGGGATGTGATATGTGGAGATATATCAGAGATTTTCGGCTTCCCAAAGTATGAGATTCAGTTGCAGAATGGGGAGACGGTAACCGAAGGGAGAAACCGCATCGATATTACGGGACCAGGTAGTCTAAGGTGAGCCACTCCGGTACATTCTTTACTTGGCGTTTTCAAGGCTAATAACAAAGCTAATGAAACAGTTAATTAATTCATGTAAAAATACTGATGAAATAGTGAAACAAACCATATTGTTTTTGGTATTTTTAAAGAAAATAACTATCAACCACATAATAAATGTCACGAAGTGTTGATCTAGACCCGATCGATCAAAAACATATTTCATAGTTTTATTAAAATAATCGAGACTTTAATTTCATATTTTAAGAAAATAAAGGCTCAAATAATTTGGATTTAAAGCAATACCCAATGTTATTGCAGGAAACGATCAATCTTTGCCGGACGGACTGTACATCTCACGACCAAGATGTTTTGCAGTTGTTTCCCCTTTCAACAGGTGGAGTTTATCCAGATCAATAGAATTAATTTATTTTGGCCTATAATTATTTGGGTTTTTTTTAAACATGAAGACTTCAATTAATTAAACATACTATCTCAGGACAATTAAGAAACTCATTATAAAAAACAACATTACCACGTCACGTTTAAACTTGAATGTATTAAGTCATACCTAAATCTATGTAAACTCAAAAAAGTAATATATGTATTTATATATTTTCTTACGATTTTGATTTCTTGTAGGGAGCAGACAAAATGATGAAGATAAACATGGTGGGCACCAATCAACCTTATAAGGTTTTTTTTTCAAATACATTTTTTTTTCAACAATGATTTACATTTATGCATCTTAAAATATATGTTGTATTTTAGATAGGATGAAATAATCTTATTTTAGTTTTAGTTTCTTAATTAGTTTTAGGTAGAAACTCAATATCACAGTTAATTATTTTCAGAATTAACAGACAAAACAGAGTATTAAAGACATGTAGAATTATGTTTGTCTCAAGTATATTCTTTAATCCAAAGATTTATTATTAACCATGTTTACTGAAAAAACAACACTTCTTTAATAATGCAATTGTTATATTATCATAGCAGATAAAGAGCCCAAATATGCATAGCTAGCTTAATTTTAATGATAATTATTTAGCATTTCTCTGGATGATAAACTGGACATATGACAAAATAAGAAATGTATTCTTATTTATTATTCTCCCATTACAAGGTTAACAGTGGGTTTTTACACATAATCTAATTGGCTGCCTGAGAGTAGAAAGCTGTGTCGCTATTTTAATCAGAGACCTGTAATTATTCTAATGTGTAATGTGTAAATTTTCAGAACATGGTAAGCAAAGAAAAACTCAAATTTATGGGTGATGAAGAAATGACCAACAAGAGGTCCTCTTATAACATTTTTCCATAAACCTCATTTCTTTACATTAGCAATGACTAATTTTAATTTTAATACTTTATACAAAAGAAATCATATATGTACAGGTAACTAAAATACAAATTTATTATGAGTCCTGTTTTCATGAAGATAAAAAGAAGAAAATGTTAATTTTAAATTACCTATTATCAGCAAGTCTTAACTTCTTATCTGATAAAATATGAATAGTATAAAGTTTGGAGGTAACTGTTGCAGTAAGATAACAATGTAACATTACAAGGGTATTAAAATGCAAATATTTGTAGAACTATTGAAATGATAATTTATTGTTTACATATATCCTATGTATTTATGTTTCACACACAATAAAGTATTGTGCTTGTCAAATTCACATTGTTTCTTGTCATTCACAAATATGGGGAAATTAGATAGCTCATTTAGTAACAGTTTTGGTGTCTTGATGTTAAATATTATGTTCAAAAGAAAAATTGTCCACTGAATATAATAAAAACACATGTGCTCACCATGTTCAGGAGTGGTTTCTAAACACGGGAAATCTTCAACTACGAGCTCGACTTTTTATGGCGTATTGTTATGGGAGTATTGTTGAGAATATTGCCCAGTGCAGTGTAAAACAACAAACAAACATCCACCTCCACACACTAAGCAACACACCCAACTTTACAGTTGATGCATAAAATGTATGCACACATAAAACTGTATTCATGTTGCACAAAGACATACCGTTATCATGTAACACTATTATCGCGTTTATTGAGGAAACAAGACACTCTTGAGCATGTACATATCTACACCAGCGACATAAAACAAAATGGTGATTTGAACTGAAATTCATCACAGTGTGTGTGTGTGTGTGTGTGTGTGTGTGTGTGTGTGTGTGTGTGTGTGTGTGTGTGTGTGTGTGTGTGAGGGAGGGAGGGAGTGGGGGGAAGGAGGTGAGATATGTCTGGAACATTAACACATTATTTTTCTTAGCTGCCATTGAATTTTTCAACTGCTCCTTCACTCGGTGACAATGATGAAGGGCATGTTAATCCGCACACTTCAACTATGTTCAGTGCATCCGGGATTGAGACGACATTGCATAACGCACGTCAGTGTTTTTTTTGGTTTGCCAGCATGTATACGAAACCCCGTTAATCAACTGAAATTGTCCGGATTAACGAATCACGGTCACAGGATAATTTCACGCTGTCACGTTACAGTTGTTAGGCCATGTAGGAATTTCAATAAATAGACATCGTGTGTTCTGGGTCTTTACCTGTGCATGGATAATAACAAGAGATAATTGAAGTGTAACAGCTTCAACTGTTGCAATACATAAACATTTTGTAATCAGTATACGGAGATTTTGACAAGGGTTGATTTGTTTTTGTGCATTATTTGTTTAATCATGGTAATATGTGGGATGAACTGCACAACATGTCATTGAACTTTATATATGGTCACCACGTTCAATAACAAATGTCCAATGGATCAAGGAATGAAGTTTTCTGAAGTTTGTTCGTGTGAAAGTGCTGTACAAAGTTGAACCATCAACTTGAGTATATGAAGCTTAAGTTAAACATCTTACACAAATTACAATGTTTTGACTTTGGTTATCTGAGCAGAAATTCTGATTCATATACATAAAGAGACAGATCAGCAAGTGGGGAAGCACAATTGGTGCCCACGGAGATGCCCACTTCTTGCCTTAATGTTGTACCCCCAAATTCTACATATCAATGAGGAAGTCAAGAATTTCACATATTGTTTTCTTAGTAAACTTCAGATGGCATTTGCTTTCATTTTTGACAAATCGCCCTGCGCCTCTGGAGGTAGATTTGTTACAGTATCTATGGTCACCACGTTTTCTAACACAAGCTTCATGGATCAAGGAATGAACTTTCCCTAAGTTTGTCATGTGGGATAGTGGTGTACATGTATAAGGTTGAAAAATCACATTTCTTCAGAATTCACATTGTATTTAATCCACTTGTCTCAAATACTTTCTGTGAATATGAAGAAAGTCCTTGATTGTTATAAAGAAGGGCAACACATCAATACTATCATTTGGCGTTTGGCCCTTCTTGTAACCATGGCTCCGGCGGCGACTTCGGGATGCCAGAAACACACTAAATGAATTGACGTTGCAATTGGCGGTTCCTTGGTTGGTTGAACTGCGAACGTCTTTTATTTTGTCACTGCATCCATATGTCATTACGCGCTAGAACACGTCTCCCTCTCTCAGCAAAGGGGCAGAACCGCTAGTGCATAGTTACACTATGTTCTTATGTGCTAGAATGAGTCTCGCTCTCTCAGGAAATCCACATAACCTCATGCTGTAGATAGAATTCTTAATTCTACCTAAATCAGTCCTTGTCAAAATCTCCGTATACTGAATACGTAATGTTTATGTAGTGCACTAGTTGAAGCTGTTAGACTTCATTTATCTTTTGTTATTATCCATGCACAGGTAAAGTCAGAACTCATGATGTCTATTTATTGAAATTCCTATATGGCCAAGCAACTTGTTTGGGGACTACATGAAATACTGAAATGTTGAGGGTACCGAATACCATCCGCAGGAAATTGCGCAATCTATGTTCTTTGCACGAAGTTTACTCTCACCAGTTTACTGTTGGTTCCACTGATTTCTTTCACCCTATCATTAGCACTTAAATAAATCAAACAGGTGAGTACATAACATTTATCTTTTGGTTTATGATTCTAATATGTATGTGTACGTACTTAGCTGCATTGCAATGCAAAGGCGTCCAAACAGTCATTTGCATCAGGCCTGTTATCAACAGGAACTTGAGGACGACGTGGAGCAACATCAATCTCCACTTCTTTGGCATGAGGCCAATAAACCCGAACAATCAGTTCCAGGAAGGCCTCGAATTTATCAAGTATTTTTGACGAGTAACGAATTCTTCAAAATGTAAAGGATACAACCCTTTGCCCATATTCTGTGTTGAGCTCAGTATGACATGATCAAATAACTAAACAATCAGTGAGCACTTGTCAGTGATAAGTTTCCCAAGCCATTCTGTTCCACATCCCAGGGGACCTAGCAGATTTCTTCCTCAGTTAACATACTGGCCTTGTATATGGTATAAAACATTGTATACGAAGCAAACGCTTCAATGCATCCAACTATGACTATAGTGTTTGTATGAGCCCCTGTTTCGCTAGCTTTGCAACTGAGTGATGTACCATAAGATACTTAAAATCTTCCCAACCAACAGGTTGATTGCAGTATGATGAGTCTTTCTCTTTCTAATTTGTAGACCCATCATCAAACGTTTCTGAAGACATTTGATTTCTTTCATTGACACTGGGCCTATTCTTGTCCTTACTTTGTGCAGTTCCAATGGTTACCGAAGGAAGGGCAACACACCTTCCAAATCGATGTAAGGTGGCCTTCGTCCTTTCTTGTGATCATGGATGTGTCGGCATCTTTGGAATGCCGGAACTCAGTAAATACATTCATGTTGCATTAGTTATGACTCAATAGTTGGAAAGACTGTGCACGTCACTTACTTTGTCATTGAATCCACTTGTCATTGCTGTACACGACAGTATTTAATCCAATGTTGTCTCTGTAATTTTGGTGAGGCTATTAAATGGAGCAATATTTTCTCTGATACCCTTACCTTCATGCAAAGGATGGAGTGATTCTCTATAAATATTAGCTTTGGCGGTAATGCGGCCGTCAAATCGGCTGTTCCAAGTCAGAGGCGATAATTGTCACCCTAACTGACCAATCAGAATCGAATAACTTCAACTTGTATTTATGTAGTATTAATATTTTCTAGTTTCATCTACCCATATGGACAAGAAAAGTTCCCTTGTATTCCATGCTTGTGGAGAGAGCCTACTGAAGAGGATCAGGAAGTCAGGATCCGTGGCAAAGTTGACTGAATGTTGTCGTAGACATGCTGTCAGGCACTGGTTTTTCTGGTCAACCCTTGGACATTTGCAAGCCGCCATGATATAGCTGGAATATTGCTCAATGTGGCGTTTGAAGGCAATCAATCTCCAATTCACTTTAGTGTCGCAATACCTAGTAGCATCTTTACCCAAAACGTATCCCTTCCTCATATTTATAGTAACAAATGAATTAGATAAACCAATACCAAATCTTGTTTTTGATGACCAAGCTTTATTATTGAAGCACTACAAGTGTATGATTTCATATCTGATCAAACAACCAACGATCTTACACTGGCAAATGAATGTTACCTTCCGTAAAACCCTGCATATGTACATTAGCTCGGAGCACCAGGATCGTATGTCTTTGAGATCAAATTGCAGATGTGACCTCACCTTGGCTCTAAGATCCTCGGTGATATCATGAAAAGAATTATTGCCAAATGGACATGTATATGTAATTAAAATAACAATCTTAAAACGTAGATCTGTCTGTGACAATGTCCTTGACCCAAGATGAATTTTCTTCTAGACCAAAAATCCCCCCAAATATCAGCTTGGATCAAAGACTTGCACAAGTTCCAATATTGAAATACAACCATAATTCCTAAAAAAAATAGTTCAAAGTTTTAGCGCTTTTGTTGCATTTTAGCAGTACCTCAGTCTTAAGTTTTATTACAAGTCAAAAGTTTTGAAATAAACAAATTCTTGCTTTCGTTCACAAAAACACATCCGGTAACTTTCATTCCAAAGGTTAGCTCATTTCTGAAGTGACACTCCATGAAGGCATGAGAATATGCAGATTCAATAGCTATGTTGTGTTGTAATCTGCACAGTTCTGTGAAGATATATATGCAGATTCAAAGGCCAACGTCATAGTCTGGTTTTCCAGCTTTGGCTGTTTCTATGAAATGAATGTGTGCCGCTGTGTCCCAGCGACATTTCTGTACAGCTGGTACCTTGCCCATGTTTTCAATCCACTTGGTAAGCTTGGGGTACCGATCAGTTGTCACCCTCGCTTCCTTCACCAACTGAGCCATGGCGTCAAATCTTTCAACGTGAGGCCAAATCGCGAAGTCAATCATCTGAACAGAGCTGCCTGAAATGTAAATAGATGAGATTTAAAAGGAATAATGTTTGAAATATTTGCAGCAGATATTTATGCGCTACCGTGCACGGCGGGTACGGATCCCAAGGGAAAGTCAAGGGGATAGGACTACACCTATTTCAAAATTATATATTGACCCAAATGACCACCAACATCAAACTACCGTTTTATTGAAATACCTGAGTGTGTACATCTTTGTCTGATACCGGTAAATTTAGAACATCCAGCAGAATAAGTGAACAGTGTGTGTTTTTGTAATACCCAGGGCCACATTATTATTCTTATTATTATTATTTACAGATTAAAATATAAAAAAGAGCAAAGAGGGTTTGGTGATCCTGGCACGGTCAGGCTGGTTAGGCTCATCATCAGCTCAGGGCCTGTGTGCCCACTCTACACGCAGCCCAGATAGCGAATGGGACATCTCCCAGGAACTGCTGCCTGGTCGAACCCACCAAGAACTTTTCAGAGATCGCGAAGCCTCCCCAACACTGCAGCCTACTGCATTACCCAGATAGTCAGAAGGGTTGTATTCCTGGTAGCAAACCCGGGCACTCTCCCACTGTCAGTCAACAGATTTGTAGGTACCAAACCTAAGGCACCGAGAACAATTGGGAGTCGGACAACTTGGTACTTGGATGCAAGTGTGACATTTCGAAATCGAGGTCTGCATATTTGCCATATTTTTCCTAAATCTTGCCAATCACATTAGTGCCAAAAGGGGCAGAAAATTCAATAATATATATGATTTCATTGGATTTATCAAAAAGGACAACATGAGGTTTGTTGGCCTGGATACGTGTGAGGCTGAATACGGGCCTATTCCAAAGAATCTTTTATTTATTATTTTCCATGACGCCCTCTACATATTCTGGGTCGTACCATGGATGGACCTCTGTGTTAAAACTACAATCATTTCGAAGACGGTAATAAAATGATCGAGCCACCCCATCATGTTGCTTAAGATACTGTGTTTGTTCCAAAGCTGGGCATCCACTGACAATGTGTTGGACAGTCTCATTAAATTCTTTACATAATCTACATTTCATGTTTACATTTTGATGCAAAATCACACATTGACGGTTTCGAGTGGGAAGTGACTGGTCCTGAGCAGCAATCAGAAAGCCTTCTGTTTCACTCTTCAGGCCAGCCGACTTCATCCAAGCGACGGGCTCTGCAGGGTTGCTGACACTGTGGTCGTTCAGAAAGCCTCTCCTTGAAAAAGTCTGGGCCGATTTGATATGGCACTTCGGTTGGTTAACACTAATTTCTGTACCGTCCAGCAGTACAGAACCATCAACAAAATTGAGATTATGTCCCACATTCTTGGCTCGTTTTAGAAAACTGTGGAATGCCTTGTTTTCATCATGAGTCTTGACATGCTTCACAAGAGGATCATCAGACAAATAAATGTGTGCAATGTGATTTTATCACGAAGAGCCTCCACATTAATCATACCACGCACTCCCATCATATTATTGTTGTTGTTGTTGTTGGTGTTGTTGTTGTTATTTTTAGTATAACACTTAATAAGGTTACGGAAAGGGACGAAGTGCTGACGGGCCTTTACATATGATACGAGCAGCCATGATGTCACCTGACTTCAGTCTGCGGACACTTACGAGTGGTCACGATATCATTTGGCACATTCGTCTTGTTCGGTAATCTACAAGATCCAACGTGATAAAAAAAAAATAGCCGAAATGGCGCGAACCGAAATCGACACCAAACGTCAATTGTCAAGTTGACGATTACGCATGAACGGCAAGGTGTTCAATAATTCCTTGAGTGATTTTGTGACATAAAAGTGTAGGAGGCAACCCTGAAAGCGAATGAGAGAGTGAGTTGGGTTTCACGCCGCTTTTAACAATATTACAGTTATATCGCAGCGTGTCAGTTTAATTTGGAAGAAAAGCCCGAAGTGATGCAGGTATCAGACGTTTACCACTTCGGTTAAATCCACGAGCACGGGTATGGTGCTGACAAACCTAGAAACATTATCGGGACGAACCGGGATTCGAACAACAATAACAGGCGAATCGCGGCGCCTGAGACGACTGGGCCACCCGTGCACCCGAACCCTGAATGGATGACGTGGGCCATGGTAAGGAATCAGGAAGACCCGGGTATTGCTACTGGGTCGAAGTTGAATCATATCTGAGCATTTGTAGCTTTTAGTAATAGACAGATAGTGATTATTGGAAATATGAATGCTTTCATAAACCGTAGCTGGCAGTATGTAGAGAATTGTATGCAGATCCGATGACCCCAGCAACTCTGCTGCTAGGCTAACGTCAGAGGGCGTTGTTTCGCCAGTGTATCTTGCAGCAAAATTTCACAAATTACATGAAGTTTTCTTAAAGTTTGAGTTAATTAAGGAATTAACATTAACAACGTACCTAAATTATTTTCTTTCAACATAATCCCAGGCATCTCAGAATATCAAATTTACTGTCCCTTACGATGAAGTTGTTGCGTTTCGTATTATTTCACCCGTTCGCTAAAGTCATAATCACCATGTTTACGCCAAATGTTTTTCTTTAAAAATACGTGAAAATTCTTACCACCAAAGAACGGAGTACCCCTCTCTGCGAGAGCCTTCTCCACTGGACCAAGAGCATCGTGGAATCCCTTTATAGCATCCTTTGGAACATCTTTGCCATAAGCTATCTTGTAAAAAAAGGTCACTGCCTGAAATATATAACATGTGTATGAGAGTAGGGGAGACGTGACTTCTGACAGTAGTATGTCACAGTCGTCTAAAGGGTCGTAAATGGTTGCGTCCCTTAGTCGTGCTAGGATCCGCAGGTAGCTGGGTCAAATCCCTACTGCATACTAATTCATGATCCTTGGTTTGTCAACGCCATACTTGTCTTCGTTGGTTTCTCCAAATTGGTAAATGTCAAGGGTCGGCATCAATTTAGGATCTAATCTCAACCTTGATATACCTGACATACTACCGGAAAACCCGCTCACTCACTGCTCTCTTTTAAGGAAAATACTATTATGTGGCCATGTGAATCCTATTTCGAACGTTAAAGAGTTTGGATGATACATATTTCGTTTTATAGTCACCACTACTTATCGTTGCTTTGTACAAGAACACCACACACGGGTCAACTAGGCTTATTCCGCTCCTTTACATTGTCCCTCGAGCAGCAACAGTTTTATTTAAATCCCCAGGAAGAAATTACGGTACCTCCTTAGAAGGTCCAGTCAGGTGAATTGTTTAATTAGCCAATCAGGTTTCTAATTTTCGGTACGAATGAACGAAGCATTCAAACCAGCATATTTGATATCTGTATTTCGAAAACGAACTAAAACGACCAGTTCCGAAAGTTGATAATTAAGGTGGCACCATTATATTGTGGGTGATACACCCTGTCGTTTCCCTGCCATGGCATCTACACCAAAAGTGAATAATAATATTGAAGGATCATTTGGGTTCAGTGTCAGTGTCTTTCTTGGTGTACAATTCGAAAGACTCGTTTTCAAAAGTGAAACTTCTTCTTTGCTCAAGATCTCATGTAACATATATCTAGATTCGGACGTCATATTTCGTTCAGGGTTCGCCTGATATTGCAGGAAATTACTGTGAACCGTCCAATATAGAATCCTGCCAGGTACTGACTTAAGGTCAATCAAACTGAATAGATCACAGTGAAAACACACGAAGTTTGACGAATCAATTTAGTAACACAACATCGATTGGCAACCCACGACACGGGTACGGTGATGACAAACGTAGAAACATAACCAAGCGAATCCAGGATTCGAACCACAGATGATCGGGTTCTAAGGGACGGGACTCGTGTGTTCACCATGATATACATTGTACTTGAAAGACGTATCGTATCAAATAAAACACCATCACTTAAAACATGTAACGTACCTTTTTCAAAATTAGATTCCGAACTGACTGAAAATTCACTATTGTTACTATGTGTTATGTATTTAACAAACCAGATTAACTCCTATCCTGTACATATGCTTGTCAACCATACTCTGTACATAACTTGCTTGATAACGGCGTTAGAACCTACACCGAAACGTCGCTCCCAATTGTAATAAAGAAGTTGTTCATCCATATATCTTATCCTTACTTAGTACTTCTAAATGCCTCTCAAAGAAATAAACCAGATTGTTACCTTTGAAAACAGTTCCACAATGAGCCTGTCCCGTGCTCTCCTGTACGGGTCCGAGGGGGTCAGTTTGTTGTTAGGGTACACTTCATCTATGTAGTCAGAGCAGACCAGAGACTCATAGATCACCTTGTCGTCTTTTTCTAAGATAGGAACAGTCCCGTTAGGGTTCCTGTCCCAGAACCAAGATGGCTTCTGTTTCAAGTCAATATTCACTGTTTCGTGTCTGGTGGAAAAACAAATGACGTTTTTTTAACAATATTCATCATAAATACAACGTCAAAATGTTTTAGAAAATGGAATACAACACGTTCAAATGCGATAGAACTAGCTACATACTATATATCTATAACATCAGCATCGAGGCCGAACGGAGGGTGGATTCTCACCGTTCTTTTGAGCTAAATCTAGTCTCGTTGCCTCGGTATTGGGGCCGAACGGTTAGTGTACACTCACTCTGTGCTCTTTGGAGCAAAACTTAGCCACGCTCTCTCAGCATACGGGTAGAACCTCGAGTGCTTTCCCAATCTATGTTCTTATGCGCTGGTTTAGTAGTTAGTTTCCTATTCGTGTTTTTCCTACTTTAGAAAACACAAATCTGTTCACTCACGAGGTTAGACAGTGTATACTTTCTCTTTGTTCCTATGCGGTAGAACTAATCTTCTTCTCTAAACAGAGGGACAGAACCTCACGTGTATACTCACTCTATGTTTTTATGTCCAAGAACTTGTCTCGTTCTCTCATCATAGGGGCAGAACCTCAAGTGTATACTCACTCTATGTTTTTATGTTCAAGAACTAGCCTCGTTCTCTCAGCATAGGGGCAGAACCTCAAGTGTATACTCACTCTATGTTTTTATGTTCAAGAACTAGCCTCGTTCTCTCAGCATAGGGGCAGAACCTCAAGTGTATACTCACTCTATGTTTTTATGTTCAAGAACTAGCCTCGTTCTCTCAGCATAGGGGCAGAACCTCAAGTGTATACTCACTCTATGTTTTTATGTTCAAGAACTAGCCTCGTTCTCTCAGCATAGGGGCAGAACCTCAAGTGTATACTCACTCTATGTTTTTATGTTCAAGAACTAGCCTCGTTCTCTCATCATAGGGGCAGAACCTCAAGTGTATACTCACTCTATGTTTTTATGTTCAAGAACTAGCCTCGTTCTCTCAGCATAGGGGCAGAACCTCATGCTGTAGATCCTTAGTTTGCCCGGGGTGAGCGCCGGGAAGGCAGATGCTGAAACCCAAAGTAACTTGATTTATTGATAAGCATGGAAATGACACCGAGTCTTGAATCACACAAATCAAAACGTCACCGGGGTACGATGAAACACTGGGGCAGTCAGGTGACAGCACGGAGTTGTATTTTCGGAGGAGGTCATCCTCATGCGTGTCTATGCTCAGCGGACATCAGATCCCTACTTCCTCTTTGACCATGGCGCCTATATGGATATCTCCCAGAATCTCAAGGATAGAGTGTAGTTGCCTACACAGGATATTTGGTCAAAACAATTTAACTTTTCAGTATTTATTACTTGGTTAATGGATCCACAGACTCTAAAAGTCAGAAAAGGTTGAATGTTTTCTTGGTAACACCGAACCTTGTCATGAACACACGAATACAACATCCGACATTCTTTCCCTGTCTTACAAGTGGTACGTGTTTATTACCCGTAAAGTTTCGCTTAAATACTTTTCACAGCTTCTCCAGTACTCTAAAACCTGTTTGCTTTGTTCACATGTAAACGCCAACGAGTTTAACATTCCTGTCACACTTCACAACGAGAGTCATCAGAAGATGACATATACCCCCGGTCTGGTGCAATTAGGAAATGGAGTTTCTCAACTTAGACCCCGAATAGCAGGCAAAACGAACCACTTTATCCCCTGATTAAAACATGTACTAAGGTGGGATGAAAAATCTTAAAGTTTTTATTTCTCCTCCTGACACGACACCCACCTCCGTTTCAGCTGTCTAACTTGTTTCCATGGAAACAGGAAAAAAATGAATTTTGAAAAGTTCCTGAATAGCAAAAGGCACCGCTTCAGCCCTTTGGTAATACATGTACCAAATTTGGATGAAAAGTCTTTCAAGTTTTGACCGTAAACGAAATACGGACAGACAGGCAGACGAACGTACGCCCGGACAGTAGGAGCAGATGTTGACTATACTCACGTCAAACACACAACTGGAAACAAAGGGACGCAACCCTGCACGACAAACCGACCCAAGCCCATTCAAATAATTGTGAAACTATCATCTTGCAACTGATACCTGATAACCTGAATAATGTGTTGGTGAGCCGTGTCTCTGAACCCTAACTGTCCAAATAGTCCAACGATAATACTTGAGATAGTTGTTAAACTGTCTAGTGGGTCTAGGCGTGGGTGTGGCGGTCGGTTAGCCTCGTGGTTAAATCGTGCGTATGATGTCCCGGGTTTGAGTCTTTATAATAGAGCTCATTCTTGGTATGCCCCACTCACTCACTCACTCACTCGCTCAATGTTTCCCTCCCCCACCCTCTCCCTCCCGAGCTCACTCACTCTAAAACAAAAAAGCTCCTTCCAGTAGTCTAACTCGACTGCTTCCTCAATCTTTCACCTCATTAATCATTCAGCCATTTAACCATTAAATAACTCAACTATACAACGCACTCGGGGCAGTGCATTAGTCTAGTGGTTATAGCGTTCGCTCGATTCCCAACATGGGGACAATGTGTGAGGCTCATTTCTAGACTATTTTACTGAAAGCGGCGTAAAACGGCGGGGCGTCTTTAAGGTTTTGTCGTGGATTAAATGTTATCTCACTGTATCGATTCCATACCAAATCATGCTTAATCATGTCATGCTAATATCCCAAAACCTTAACGGGAGAGCGCTAGGATTGAAAGACAGAGTAGATCCCAGGCACCCAGCGGTAGTTCTAGGAATGTCAGTGGAATGGATATGCCGTCCTTCCTCGATGGTGTGGATCGTTGCTCACTCTTCCACCCACTGGCCTGTCTGTTCCAAATACGATTATTGACGAAGTGATAATTACTGAATGTGACGTGAAACAAAGCAACAGTACTAGTTAACAGATGACAGTGTCACGACGGTCACGTGATCTAAGACGTGACAGACTTAACATCGGGTACTCACTCGTTGTGTAGGACTTCTCGGTCATAGCGATGTTGTGTGTGAATGAATTCAACTCAGTCCCTTCAGACTACTGAGAAATCAGAATACCTGTCACCATGATTTAGCACAATTAATCGTCGCTGTACGCTCCCGGAATGTTCTATATCTGCGCTTCATAACGCAGTGGCCGACTGAATGCATGCACTACAGCTCTCTCAAGGCCGCTCATGCTGATATCCTGTCTTTGTTTACACAGTTAAAATCGGACGCTGACTATGCAACTATGCCACCCCGTTACCGGACGATTGAGTTACCACTGATAAAGCTTAAGTGTGTGTGCTTCAGTGAGCTTGTGAAGATTGTGAAATTCATGAATGCCTAGCGTTTACATGAACTCACTGACCAAAACGGTCTTTTTAATGAAATTACTGAACTGTTTCACGAAATCATCAGTTCCACAATCTTACACTCTTCAAAAAAAAGAAACGCACAGGTAGATTTTTAGTAAATTTATTGTACCTGATAAAGTCGATATATTTAATTCAATATCAGAGATACAAATATGAAATTTTGGAGCTCGATCACATGTTGTCGTTGTACAAAGGCATTGAAACTGTTCATTGTCATGTCACATTTATGGATCAGAAATATGGACATTCCATAAAATATGTGCATTCCATAAAATATGGGCATTCCATAAAATATGTGCATTCAATAAAATATGGGCATTCCATAAAATATGTGCATTCCATAAAATATGGGCATTCCATAAAATATGTGCATTCCATAAAATATGTGCATTCCATAAAATATGGGCATTCCATAAAATATGTGCATTCCATAAAATATGGGCATTCCATAAAATATGTGCATTCCATAAAATATGGGCATTCCATAAAATATGTGCATTCCATAAAATATGGGCATTCCATAAAATATGTGCATTCAATAAAATATGGGCATTCCATAAAATATGTGCATTCCATAAAATATGGGCATTCCATAAAATATGTGCATTCCATAAAATATGTGCATTCCATAAAATATGGGCATTCCATAAAATATGTGCATTCCATAAAATATGGGCATTCCATAAAATATGTGCATTCCATAAAATATGGGCATTCCATAAAATATGTGCATTCCATAAAATATGGGCATTCCATAAAATATGTGCATTCCATAAAATATGGGCATTCCATAAAATATGGGCATTCCATAAAATGGAAGAAGTTGAGAAAGTTCATTTATATGCGTGTAAATGGTTATTGAATGTTACTAAATGTACATCAAGTAGCGCTGTATTGGGTGAATGTGGTAGAATCCCTTTACATATCAATGCAATGATGAGAGCTTTTAAATATTGGCTACGTTTAATGTGTATGCCGGGTACCCACTTACCTAAAAAGTGTTATGAAATGATGTATTTATACGATAGTCAAGGAAAGAAGAATTGGGTTACTTATATTAGAACAACGTTATTTTCACTCGGATTCGGCCATGTTTGGTTACCACAATCACCCGGTAATGTACAGGTATTTACTTCGATGTTATTTCAACGCTTGAAAGATAATTTTCAACAAATATGGCATAGAAGTTTATGTAATAGCTCCAAAATGTCCTTCTATTCTCATTTTAAATTAACGTTGAAGGGTGAAGAATAATTGTATTGTGTAATCGTGAGTAAATTCCGGTCATGTATGTCAAGGTTTAGATGCAGTGCACACTGGAAACAGAAACTGGTAGAAAACTTAATATCCCTCGTGAAGAAAGATTTTGCAAACTATGTTAAGTTTGCCTGATAGAAGACGAGTTTCATTTCCTGCTAGTGTGCCCTGCATATACTCACGTACGTCATCTCTATATTCCTTCAAAATATTATCTACACCCAAATGTCCATAAGAGTAATATTCTTTTATCAACAACCAAAACAAAGCTGATTATTAATATCGCTAAATATATGTGAATGAATTTAAATCAGATATTTTTGAATGTACTGAGAAATCAGAATGCATGTTACGATGACTAAGCACAATTAATCGTTCCTGTACGCCACTGGAATATTCTTTGTCCACTGAATGCTCACTGAATGTCCACTGAATGTCCACTGAATGTCCACTGAAGGTCTCTCGGGGCCGCTCAAGCAGTCATCGCTTTCAGTTCATTGTTTAAACAACCTTCATATGCAAAGTCCATTTTCCATAGGACATACGTTGACTGTATAACGATGTTAAATACCCATTACCGGACGATTACTACCAGTAACCAGTACCATATAAGTGTACATATGTCACAGTAAGATTGTGAAATCATGAAATCCCGAAGCATTTCAGTAATCTCATAAAATCTATGAATATTTTACATACTTACATAAACTCACTGCAATGTTGCACGAAATCCCTAGTTTCACAATCGTACTGTAACATATACAACGTGACGTTACACTGTGGAAGTGGTTCGTTAATCCGCACATTTGCTAATCGGGACGATTTCAGTGACGCCGCTACCGTCCGGATTACCGGGGTTTCATTGTATATGGTATTGCACAGCGGAGAAACACTATTTTCCGCAATGAATTGCCACCTCAATCCTGACTATACTGTTAAAAGTGAAGTGTTCAAACTGTATTGCCATGGAGTAAAAATTCCATGTCAAGTAAAAAAAATATTAATGTTTTATAGGTGCCTTCCTCCCCTCACCTCACATAAATGCACGCACATACGCACACATAAACACAAATACACGCCTACACTCACACACATATGCACGCAGACACACATACACGAACACACACATACATCCACAAGCACGCACACGTACACACATGTACATACATACGCACGCGCGTACACACTCACACACACGCACGCATAAACACACATACACGACCACACTCACGCACATATACACCCACACACACATACACGCATGCAAATACACACGAACACGCACACAAGTACATACATACATCCACACGCACACACACGCATGTACATGTGCAAGCACGCGCGCACATTCTCACACGCACGCACACATGTGCACCCACGTACACACACACGCACGCACATACATGTACAAACACAGATACACACACATTTACATACACATACACACATACACGCACGCACACACACGCACACGCACATTTTTTCAGCATTTCGTTTCGGTTTACCTCGTTGACTCTGTCTCTGTGTGTGTGTGTGTGTGTGTGTGTGTGTGTGTGTGTGTGTGTGTGTGTGTGTGTGTGTGTGTGTGTGTGTGTGTGTGTGTGTGTGTGTGTGTGTGTGTGTGTGTAGTCTTGAAGGAAGGGCAGCCTACCTTCCAAATGAATGGTATCATTTGGCCTTCGTTTTTGTTGTGAGCAGGCTGCGGTGGCGTTTTTGGGAAGCCGGATATACACTAAATAATACACCGGTAATAAACATTATGCAAAGTTTGGTGCTGTATATGCTCAAGCATATTTTTATAAATCATTGTAATTTAAAACAACATAAATCAGGCATTGGAAGTATGATCGCCGGCAACTTCGTAAGACAGCGTGAAGTGGGCACCCCTTAAGACAATTAAGCAAGCCTCCCAAGGTTTTGTCCTACATTGCACGTCACCGCTCATTGTGACGTACCAATTATGACGTCACATTCGGCAATAGAAAAGCGACACATTTGCAGCTCTACCTGGACCCTAAACTTTGAAATAACCCTCATAGCCGATTTCTATGTTATAATCTGCCCAAAATGTATTGCCTCACATAGTTGGAATATTGCAGTAACCACGGCTCAGCATTTTGTAACTTACTGACAATGACGAAGAAAGAAGTAATTTTCTATAAAGCAATCACCAATTTACTCTGGTATAGCAAAACCTAACAGTATCTTTACTCACAACGTAATCCTACCTCATTGTTTCTGATAACAAATGAATGAGATAAACCAATACCAAGTTTTTGTTGATGATCAAGGTTTATTATTTGATAATAAGTGCATAATTTCATATTTTGATAATGCAAACAACGAGGTGAGGTGAGGTGAAATTGGGTTTAACGCCGCGTCCAAGATTATTGCACTCCTATAGCGACGTGCATGCACGTGTGTGTGGCTGCTTGTACCAGTCCGGACTGATGCCGATTTATGGTGCTAGCTCACTGAGATACCATGCCGCAGTTTGACACGAATACCCCACTCAGACACAAAAAACTGACTTCGAGCCGACCAGTCCTTGTTTTAGCCCCTTAATGCCGAGCGCCACACAGGGTAACAACAAGTACCATCTTTTAACGTCTTTTGGTATGACGCGGCCGGGGATCGAACCCTAGACCTTCCTCTCTCCAAGCGGACGCTCTACCAATAGACCACGGAGGCGGGCTGCAAACAACGCTCCTATTTTGGCGGATGAATGTCATCTCATATGCAAACCCACACACACATGTACCATGAGCTCGCAGTATCAGGAGTACATGTCCTTGAGATTAGTGAGTGAGTGAGCGAGTGAGTATGGTTCTACGCCGCCTTTAACAATATTCCAGGAATATCACGGCGGTGGACACCAGAAATGGGCTTCAGTACTGTACCCCATGTGCCCATGTGGGCAATCGAACCGGGCCTCTGGTGACGAGCGAACGCTTCAACCACTAAGCTACCCCACCGCCCACCTTGAGATTAAGTTGAAGATGTCACTGAATGGACCCAAGATCCTCGTACGAGTTTCGAATCCGACAGAGACAGTTTTAATGAACGCATGACCCTGAAGGTATTCGTTTCACAACTAGCACTAGTTCCAACGTCTGTTAATGTCTTTGTTTAAGGATATCATCAGCGTGTTATTGTTTTACAACGCTTTCAGTTGAGAATGTGAGACAACTTTGATAGTGAAGTTTAAAGTAAGCAACACAAAACAATGAAACCCTGCAGTCCGAACAGCTGCTAGCTATAGCTACACATTCTATAAAGGCACATACGCATTTATGTTTGAACTACATAGGTACAATAGCTATAGTGTGTGGTCATCGCAGAATTCCGCGAATATGCAGATGCAAAATTCAAAGTCCGAAGTCATAGTCTGGTTTTCCAGCTTTAGATGTTTCTATGAAATGGACATGTGTCGGTGTGTCCCAGCGACATTTCTGCACGGCAGGTACCTTGCCCATGTTTTCAATCCATTTGGTAAACTTGGGGTACCGATCAGCTGTCACCCTCGCTTCCTTCACTAATTGGGCCATAGCGTCAAACCTTTCAGTGAGAGGCCAAATCATGAGGTCAACCATCTGTACTGAGCTGCCTGAAATGTAAATATATAGATGATACCGAGAGGGACAGTTTGGACTGTTTTCAACACATGTTTACGCATATTCATGCACAACGGGTGTAGATATATTCGGGAGAAAGGTATGTGTGGGTGTGGACTGGGAAGCTGTCATGGAGTTTGATGTTGACATAGGTATTGCTACCAGATCGACATTTTAATTATATCTGAGCAAATGTAGCGATGGGTAGTATTGGAGAGATAGTGTTCGAATTTGGACCGGCGACGTTTTGAATGTGTGCAGCGTCAATGAATAGCTAAAGTAATGTTGAAACTGATACAAATCCTTTAAATAACAAATATTAACCCTCCATGAACTGGATCTTCCGATAAAATGCGCCGTAGCATGGAGTATTTAGTAAACATATAATGACAACGCTGGACTTTTTCATTTATTGAATCACAGATCAACACATGTAGCAAAAGGTTGAGGATCGATATCGTGTTCGGATCGGCGATGTTTGAATTTGTACGGCGTCAATAACTAAATAAAGCTGAAACTGACCCGTCATGGGGCTGGAATATTGCCGAGTGCGGCGTTAAACAACAAACAAACAACATAAACTGGCGGTTACTAAATAATGTGCCGTAGCAGGCTGTAAACAGATACTGAACACTCAACATCACCGGGCTTATTCAATGACCTCAAGTGTAGAGATGACAGAACACTGAGAGAATCTTATGTGCACCAGGTAACCCCCTCTACTTTGTTGCCAGGCTACCGTCACAGGGCATCGTTTCGCCAATGCATACGTCATTGGGTATTGTGACGTTATTTTTTAACTTTTTGGTACTGAGTTCTAACCTTTTAGGTATATGTAGGCCCAAAACTTAATTTCTTTCAAAAAAATCTCATGCCACTTAGATGTTCTCATTCGTAAGATGTTATCAAATGTTCTGTCCTTTATGTCGAAGTTGATTTCGTATTAACGTGGTGGATGACAGTCCATGTGATCCTTTTATAGCTAAAGTCTTATCACCATTACTAAGCCAAATAGTATTTCTTGGACAATATGGGAAAAATATTCTTACCACCAAAGAACGGGGTCCCTCTCTCTGCAAGAGCCTTCTCCACTGGATCAAGAGCATCATGGAATTCCTTGATAGCATCCTTTGGGACATCTTTGCCATAAGTTGTCTTGTAAAAAGGGCCCATTACCTGAAATTATTAACAGTAGTATGCTAGTAGGAGGCACGGGATGCCGAGTCGTCAAAGATTCGTAAATGGCTGCCAATCTTAGTCGTGCTTGAATGCGCTGATAGCTCATTCAAATCCCTAATGCATACTTTTCTATGATCCCTGGTTTGCAACGCCCATGGCCTTGCTCGTCAATTGCACCAAATTGGTACTTATCTGGGACTGGCATCACTATAGGCTTTCCTCCCATATTAATCTGGTCTGAGACCTGCATCTCTTCGGGCTTTCCTCCCACATTAAGCTGACGCGCCGTGATATAACTGGAAAACTGTTAAAACGGCGTTAAACCAAACTCACTCACTCACTCACTCACTCAACATATTAATCTGGCACACCGTGAAAAAACTGAAACACTGTTCAAAGCGCCAGGAAAACCCAACTCACTCACTCACTACCTTCTTTTAAGGAAAATACTATTATGTGACAATGCGAATATTATTTTGGTAAGTGAAAGAGTTTAGATAATATACATTTATTTTATAGTCACCAATATATATCATTGCTTTTTACAAGAAGACCACACTCGGATCAACTCGGCTTATTCCGCAACCTAAATTATACCTCGGGCAGCAACAATATAATGAACATACTTTACATCGGTATGAATGGCGGCACTTCCACAGAAGGTCAAGTCAGGTGAACTTTTTAATCAACCAATCAACGTCGATGCTTCTAAATTCTCGATACGAATGAGCAAAGCATTCAAGACAGCATGTTTGATTTATTTTTTTGTTTCTCGAAAGGAACTAAAAAGACCACTTCCGAATGTTGATCATTCACATTCATTGTTGATCATTATACTAAGTATTTTATACATCCTGTTTCCCTGCTATGGTATCTGTACATCGATGGACTATCTGTGTTCTGTGTTCCGTGTACAATTCGAAATTACCAAATCGAGGAAGTAATTAAATGTAACCGAATGGTTTTGGAAAGCGAAACTTCTGATTGGCTCAAGAGCTCACGCATTATTCATGTAGACTTGTCCGTCAAAGTTCGCTCAGGGTTCGCCGACAGCAATGGAGTGGTGGTATTGCATGAATTTAACCGTGGTTTTTTTTTACGTAAACCTTCCAATATGGATTCCTGCCAAGTACTGACCCAAGGCCAATTAGACTGAGTCGAGCAGTGTGAAAACACCATACAGTATTTGAGGAGGTTTATAAAATATCATCACGGACCTGATGACGCAGCATAGATTGGGAACCACCAACAAGGTTACGGTGATGACCAACGAAATTCATAGCCATGGGAACCCAGGATTCGAACCAAAGATCGTCGGAATCTAAGGCACGGAGCTCTACACAGCTAAGGTACCTTAGACGACAAGGTCACGCGTGTCCTCAATGATACACTTAAAAGACGTGCCATATCAATTTAAAAACTATGACTTAAAGCATTTAATGTTCCTTGTTTCAATGTGATTCAGAACTGACTTCTAGTCTTTAGGGGATTCTTTCATTAATTCGAATGGTAGTACTTCAGTGTACAGTGCATTGCTTGTGTTATTTGATCAGTAGACGACAGTGTTACCTTTGAAAACAGTTCCACAATGATCCTGTCCCGTGCCCTCCTGTACGGGTCCGAGGGGGTCAGTTTGTTGTTTGGGTACACTTCATCCAGGTAGTCAGCGCAGACCAGAGACTCATAGAGCACCTTGTCGTCTTGTTCTAAGATGGGAACAGCGCCGTTGGGGTTCCTGTCCAGGAACCATGATGGCTTCTGCTTCAAATCAATATTCACTGTCTCATGTCTGTTGAAAAAACAATTATATTTTGTTTAAAATACTCATCATAAATACAATGTCAAAATGTTTTTTTTAGAAAATAGAATACAACATGTTCTTATGCGCTAGAACTAGTCTCGCTCTCTCAGCATTGGGGCCGAACGGCTTGTGTATACTCAACGTTCTTTTGAGCTAAAGCTAATCTCGTAACCTCAGCATCGGGGCCGACCGTCTGGTGTAAACTCACTCTATGTTCTTTGGAGCTAACATTTAGTCGGTTGTCTCTCATTCTGCCTACAGTTTATAATACACCATATACGTTTTATTAGGGGATTAGTTTCACATGATTGAATGCTTTCTGAATACCTGTCTTCCCTTTCTCATCATAGATTAATCCTTTCAACACTAAGACCACTAAATAAAGAAATGTGAATACATGTCAACCTGGCTTGCCTCATAACATGCAATAAGAATTGGCTTCTAGTGCAAACATTTCACCAAACCATAATCAGAACGGCCAACGGCATTCTTTCTCTAAAAATAGAAAAATCTAATCATATCAATACGAAAATAGAAATGTTATCAATGCAAATTTGAATTGTGACTTGGCTTATTTATGCTAAGATTACATTAATGGATATAAGTGTACTTATGATGTGATATTATGTATATGATAATGATGTTATGTTGTCATAAATGCAATTATATGATGAATTATAGATGTTGACATAAATGAACATAAGTGTATAATTACTTAAAAATATGATGTTATATCAGATACGATAATGATATGAATACTTAATGTATTTGTTGACGTTCATCAGCTGATGAGGACAGTGCCTCAGGTGAGCAAATTCCATGATGCGCGAAGCTGATGAACGTCAACAAATACAACTCCAATCCTTATGTTGACAAATACATATACCATAACAAAACTATCCATTAAACATCAAACTTTAATTATTTGAAGCGAACTATATCAACGCGGAGTTGTGTTCTTATGCGCTGGAAGTCATCTCGCTCTCTCAGCATAGGGGCAGAACATGCAGTGTATACTTACTTTATATGTTCTTATGCGCTAGAACTCATCTCGCTCTCTCAGCGTAGGAACAGAACCTCTAGTGTATAGTTACTTTATGTTCTTATGCGCTAGAACTCATCTCGCTCTCTCAGCATAGGGGCAGAACATGCAGTGTTTACTTACTTTATATGTTCTTATGCGCTAGAACTCATCTGGCTCTCTCAGCATAAGGGCAGAACATGTAGTGTATACTTACTTTATGTTCTTATGCGCTAGAACACATCTCGCTCTCTCAGCGAAGGATCAGAACTTCTAGTACTAGTGTACCAAGTATTTACTCTATATTCTTATGCGCTGGAACTCATCTGGCTCTCTCAGCGTAGGGGCAGAACATGCAGTGTATACTTACTTTATGTTCTTATGCGCTAGAACTAATCCTGCTCACACAACATAGGTACAGAAAATCTAGTTTACACTCACTCTATGTTCTTATGCGCTAGAACTAATCCTGCTCACTCAGCATAGGTACAGAAAATCTAGTTTACACTCACTCTATGTTCTTATGCGCTAGAACTAATCTTGCTCTCTCAGCAAATGGGCAGAACCTCATGCTGTAGATCCTCATTTTGCCCGGGGTGAGCGCCGGGAAGGCAGACGCTAAAACCAAAACAAATTGATTGATTTATCGCCATGGAAATGTCATCTAGTCGTGAATCATACCAATCAAAAAGTCATCGGGTACTATGAAACACAAGGGCAGCCAGGTGACAGCATAGAGTTGGTCTTTTCAGAAGAAGGCCATCCTCATGCTTGTCTATGCTCAGCGGACAACAGATCCCAGTTTGCCCTTTGACCTTGACGCCTATACAGATATCCGTTCAAGAATCTCAATGATGCATGTAGACATTAGTCACACATGATATTTAGTCACACATGATGTTTAGTCAAAACAACGACATTTTTTACTTTTTATTGCATGGTTAATGTACCCGCTGACCCTACATGTCAGGAATGGGTTTAAGTTATTTTAGAAACGCCGAACCTGATAAATACATTCATGAATAAAACATAAGTAATTATTTCCCTGCCTCACGCAGACAAGTGGTATGTGTTTCATTACCCGACATTTTCCGCTCAAATATTTCTCACAGCGTCACTAGTACTACAGAGATTGTTTGCTTTGTTCACATGTAAACGCGAAACATTTTTGACATTCCTCACGTTTCACAAAACAATGCTGAACAGAAAATATAGAATTTGAAATTATTCTCATACTAATTACCCTTTATGCAACAAGAGCTGAAAAATAATGGGAGAGTGAAATGTTATTTTCCTTGTTATAGTGCTGAGAAAATGTTTTGAGAAAAATATACCGTAAATTAACCTTATATGTATCTTACGATAACACAAAGACGACCCACAATACACAGAACATGCACAAAGTCTCATAAAAACTTTGTGATTCACAGAATTTAGTGATCAGTACCCTATTATAAAGTAATATAGTTCACGTTTGAGTTTACGCCGTATTTACCAATCTTTTAACAATATCACGGCGGGGGGACACCAGAAACGGGCTTCACACATTATACCCATGTTTGGAATCGAACACGGACTTTTGTTTGACAAGTAAACGCTTTACCCCCACCGCTTCAGTTTCCGTATGAACGTGACTTTGACACAAAACAATAATATTACTCAATGCATGAATTTTGTATGGTTTTAAGGCCGGTTAGACGAGTACGTCACGAGCTGTGAGCTAAATGTGGATAGAATGCCGAGGCTGGACTCAACTCACGTCAAGCAAATCCTAGAAACAAAGGGACGCAACCCTGCACAACATTCGGATCCAAGATCCCTCACTCAAATAATCATCTGGCCCATCTATAAACGTGTATATATTTCACTTGAGAAATTGTTTAGTTAATGTTGTTTATTTTTGCTGATACGTCTTGTTGCATTACGACTGTACCCCCGAATTAAGACGTGCAAACGATTATCATGTAACGCTAATGCGTCGTACACAGGACACGCTTGATCGTGTTTGCACCAGCGACATGCTACAAAATGGCGATGTGAACAAGTATTCATCGAATTAGACGTGATAAACAAGGACATATATGTGTGTCCTACACCAACAGTATAAAAATGGTGGCAGTTTCACGACGGTCACGTGAACTAAGACGTGACATATTGAAAACAGGGTACTCACTCGTTGTGTAGGCCTTCTCAGTCATGGCGATGCTGTGGCTGAATGAATTTAACCCGCTTCCTGTTGTATATACAGAGAAATCGGAATGCCTGTCACGATGACTAAGCACAATTTATCGATGCTGTACGCCACCGGAATATTCCTTGTCTGCGCTGTGCATCGCGGAACAGTAGCTATTACTGAATGTCCACTACATCTCTCCTAAGGCCGACAGCTGTGGGATATGTAAACACAACGGGCTACTGTTTACACACCCAGGTCAGCTTGATCTTTCTTCAGCTATATTTGAGCGCCTCTGCGGTCTAGTGGTAGAGCGTCCGCCCGGTGAGCGGAAGGTCCGGGGTTCGATCTCCGGCTGCGTCATACCAAAAGTCGTTAAAAGATGGTACTTGTTGTTACCCTGTCTGGCGCTCGGCATTAAGGGGCTAAAACAAGACATGGTCGGCTCGGAGTCAGTATACTGTATCTGAGTGGGGTATTCATGTTAAACTGCGGCATGGTATCTCAATGGGCTAGGACTATAAATCGGCATCAGTCCGGTCTAGTACAAGCAGCCACACACACACACACACACACACACACACACACACACACACACGTCGCTATATACGTACAATAAACATGTTTCCTTTGGTTTTTTATTGAATTTTCTTCTTTTCAATTTCGCCCGCCCGCTTCTCTTGCTGGGTAGGGTTGGAGATGAGAGACACATACAAAAATATGGATGGCCTACACTGCAACTGAGGCTTTCCCTTTATGTGCTTCACTTGTGGTATGGCAAGCCCGGAAAATAACAGGCGTTATATAGTGAAACTTGTTTAATCCGAACAGTACAGTTCATAGTGCAAATGTGCAGTTTAATTAAGGGAGCAGTATATATATTTCAGGTAAATATTAACTCGAAACTGTTTTCAGACATACCGGCCACACGACTCGTTAAACCGTATTTGTGAACACGTTGATACGCTCAAGCAAAGAAGAGGAGATTTCAACCAAAAAACTCAAATTATGATATTTTGTGAGGTATATGAGACAAAAATAGTTCGGAACATGACGAGCACACCAACACATCACGCAAGGGAGTTTTTGATCTTGCACAATCCTTTTTTTGTATTTCATCTCGTTTTAGCTACTAAACTGCCGGGCAAAAGAAAGTATACACCCATATTTGATGATGGCAAATATGAAATAAGCAAGAAATGCTTATTTGACGGTGATGTATTTGATACTGGTATCAAAATGAAAAGAAAAGAAAGACTTTTTAGCTGTCCACTTACATGCTAAGATAATACCTAACTTTGTACTTAAACTGCACTCTGTACCTCTTGTTATTGTACCACCACTTTGCATAGAATACATATATCCATCTTGTACGTGGAATACACTTAATTAAAATAATGCCTTAATATACCTTACAACAGTCTACCGGGAACAGATCATTTCGGAAAAACGGGGACCAGCAAAACAGACCCTCACTGTAATGAGTTTCAAGGTTTAATGAAACAAATAGATCGTCTCGTCTCCTTGATGAACACAAACCACATGCATGTTGGTATTGAGATAATCAACAGGATCAGATATGGCGAGATAAGCATGCCATTGCAGCCTCACTCTGCTTCAGGGGGAACTTCAGTTCACTTCAACTGTATGTGGGGTGGGTAGCCGAGTGGTTAAAGCGTTGGTAGTCACGAGAGAGACTCGGGTTCGAATCCTCACAAGGGTATATGTGTGAAGCCAATTGCCTGTATCCCCTACCAGGCTAGCTTCCAGAATAGCGGATACCATCTGCAGGAAATTGCGTAATATACTTCATTAGCAACGAAACTTACGTGTCGCCATTCCACTGTTGATTCGCCTGATATATTTCACCCTATCATTGCGCATAGTGACATTGTAGTCCTTTTATACAAACGGGTGTGTACTTAACATTTAATTTTGGTTTAGAATTTAAATACTTTATGCACGTATTCATCTTCATCACCACGTAAAGGCGTCCAGACAGTAAACCCTACTCTCACAGGGGACGACAGCCACAACTTCCGTTCATTTGGCATGGTTTTATAAACCAGAACAATCGGCTCCGCGAAGGTGTCGAATTTATCAAGGATTTTCAACGAGTAAAGAATTCTTTGAAATATGAAGAATGTAACACTTATGATGTATCCGACCTGGGAAGCCAACATTTCAATGCACCCCAGGATGACTCTGTAGTGTTTGTGTTGGCCCGTTTCGGGGGCCTTTCTCAACACAGGCAAAGGAATATTCCCTTGTGTCCCGATCAGTTCCCCCCAAAACTTACTGACCTTCAACCCTCTTCCCTATGATGAAATTTCCTTTCCCAGATTTAGGCTCATCCATGTCCACAATGCTTCCATCACCCCGTTTTGTTCACTATTGTCATCCACCACACAACGCAGACCTCCCTGTAGAAGTGATACCATTTTTGCTACATGAAGAAATATCAAGGTCTCCACGAATGAAATATTGAAATTTCAAAAATTGAATTGAAAGTCAAAAGCAGTATTTTTCCACATGCTTTCTTGGTACATTTTCTACACTTGCCTTCTTTACGTTCACATAAAAAAGACTCCTGTTCCAACACCTCTACCCTTCCCTTCCAAGTGTCTACTGATGCCTTTCTCTGAAAAAACGAAATATTCTTCCCCATCTTCTCTCAACCGGTACACATTCCAACTTGGTATTTCGGATAATTATAACGCTAAGCAAGCTGTCAAAACGAAAATGTCCGTAGCATGCCCAGATACTGTGGTATGTAAGGTATCAGCTGCTAACTAAACAATTAGAGAGCACTTATTTCTGAGAGGTTTCCCAAGTCATTTAGTTCTACATCCCAGAGTTCCTGGTACATGTATATTTCTGGTTTGACTGATTTTTCCATATTAGAACGTTTCGAACCTCTACACAGAGCTGAATATTGTCGTGAGCTTTAAATAGGTTTTAACATAGTCCCGTCACACTTGTTTCATGACTTCTCCAGAGTTATCGATCCCTGTTTTGTGGAAGGTCAAATCCTGGTCTCTCAACCATCCCTCCACAGCAGCAACAGTTGGTCCTTGTTATAGTTCTGACCACCGTTCATTGTTATACCTTGTTGGTAGACACAAGGGCCAGACTGGGCCAACTTGCACAAAGCGATCTTAGTGCTAAGATGATCTTAACTCCCATACTTTAACATAGGCTTACAATAGTCGTAGCGCTAAGATCGCTTTGTGCAAGTGGGCCCAGGTGAATAAGGTGGGTAGAAACTCGTATCCACACTCACGTACAGCAGTCACTGCATCAAGGCTGGTGTGGATACTATTCATCATTCATTGTCGATGCCAATTATGCCTTTGCTGTCCCAAAAGATTGCTAAATAAATCTTTAAAAACTTTCTAAATGGATCTTGTTGTTTTATAAATACACTTTAGTTGTTGGAGACCACAAATGTTTCAACAAATGCAACACTGCTGGTTAACATAGCTTTAGAGATGGTTACCAGCTTATCCTTCTTTTAATCCGACAGCATTCTCGGAACTCATTGGGCACAAACCTTTGACGTATGAATATGTAGACCTTCATGGAGAACTATTTCTTGTGACTCAAAGTCAAAATTAATTTATTTGTGTGTAGGCCTTCGGCCCATATACAAGAAATGCAGTGCCAATAATACAATGTGAAGCACATAACAGATTTTACGACTTCCTGTCTTTGTTTATACGCATAATATACATAATATTGCAGACGTTTTAATAACTCATCCTGAGTTGTACACAATAATGTTTTTAATTTATATATAGTTGGAAACTTCCAATACAATTCTGGCAAATAAACTTTACGCAGCTCAGTATAATGTTTACAGATCAATACGAAATGACATTCATCTTCAACAGACATTGCAAACAGGACACATACGTAAACATGATTCAATAGACTCACACGAGAATCATGTGGTCTCCTCTAACTCACGGGGTATACTCCGCCTATTATATAGTACCAGGATGTGGACGGCATCATTGTGTTGTTGTGGTGCTGGTGGTGGGTCTTCCAAACACTCTCATCCACGCTGAAATTCTTTCACCCAAAGTTTTCTTGTGGTATATGACCGGACAGCCTCCCCATAAACAGCGCGAAACCGTTCGTCAATACACTGTGGTGATTGATCCTCTGAGGTAAACATATTGATTACTGCTGTATACTGAGCGGTGTCTATTCCAAGCTTAGGAGTTGGGAACCTCCGAATCGAAGTCAGCTATTGTGAAAGACTATAAACACAGGTCTATACCAATATATGTAACATGTAAGCATAACAGCAACCTATATGTTGATATGCAAGTCTCAAAACTGCCTGACAACCCCTGGGGGCACGGATGGCCCAGTCGTCTAAGGCGCCGCAATTCGCTGTGCAGAGTTGTGTCCCTTCGGCACGCCAGAAACCTATGATTGTGGGTTCGAATCCCGGTTCGCCCCGATTATGTTTCTAGGTTTGTCAGCACCATACCCGTGTTCGTGGGTTTCACCGAAGTGGTAAACGTCTAAGACTTGCATCACTTCGGGCTTTCCTCCCACATTAAGCTGACACGCCGTGATATAACTGGAATACTGTTAAGCGGCGTTAAACCAAACTCACTCACTCACTCACTCACACTGACAACCCCTCGTATTAGGTTTGTGGATATTATCATACAAAGTCTTAATTAAACATGACTTGTCATAAATGAACACCGCCAGTCACAGTGTGATTTAATGTGGAGCCAGTGACTATATTAGTGAGTATGGAGTGCGTGATCTGCTTCATATCACTTTGAACACTATTTGGCTTTGGAAGAAAACCCGAAATGACGCAGGTCTAAAACGTTTACAATTTGGTAAAGCACAGGAGCACTGGTATGGTGCCGACAAACATTGAAACGTAATCAGGGCTAATCTGGTATTCGAACCGATGCATACATCTCTAGTTCGCGTATCGGACGAGAATTCCGTGAAGACGTTTTGCCGTGGGCTACCCATGCCCCTCATAACTACATATAATAGGAGCCAATATAATATTATATCGAACATCAGCCATGAATGAAGGATTACATGTAACAGCCCCCCACATGTAGCTGACACACAACACACTTCCACAATCCAGCAATCACGGTATGTAATTATATTACTTCATGTTAGTCAGACTTAACGAAAACCGTTAAACATGATACATTGCCCATGCATGACAAGCTTGAAGGAGCGGGTAAAATAAA